ATGTCAACTCAGTCAGAATAATCACGTGATGAATTGCAGAAGACACACACGCACACGCACATGAAACAGCGGTCCCGGATCGACCAAGACTAAATCTGCCACCAGGAAATGTCTCTTGGAAAAAAAGGGCGTGTGTGGGGTGGGGATTGTAATGGCAGGATAGCTGACCCCGCCACCCATCCAGTATCTTTGAGATATACAATTATAGAGGCTAACAAAACACATCAATATATGGATACGGGTTAGATATTTTGACCTTTCTTACACACACACTCAAGCACGCGCGCGCGCACACACACACACACAGACTTTGACTTTTTTAACCCAACCCCACCCACACACAGACAGTCTCTGTCACACACACACACACACAGATATAGACTTTTCTAACCCAATCCCACACACACACATTTACAGAAAGTCACACACACACACACACACAAAGTCAGACACACAGAGATAGTGTACGGGAAATATTATTATGTAAAAAAAACCTTAAGAACCCTTTTCCACGCCTTTAGGCGTATAGGGCACATAGGGCTAGACCTAATCAACATCACTCGCCAGAATGGCAGACTTGGGAATTAAGATCGGTACAGCAAAAAACGAGACGCACACCAGACAAGCCAGAAGACTTGTTAATCAACATAGAACTGGTACTATTAGCCATCGGACGTTGGGGTTCATACTGAGGGGAGGATCTGAGCACCTATGGACATGTCCGGAGTGCAATGAGGATAACCCAACTAACTAACTAACTAACTAACTAACTAACTAACTAACTAACTAACTAACTAACTAACTAACTAACTAACTAACTAACTAACTAACTAACTAACTAACTAACTAACTAACTAACTAACTAACTAAGGGCTAGACCTATATTTTTATAGACCAATCGGCCCAAGATGGTGATGTGGTGAGCATCACGCCGCCCGCCTTTACTTCCCGGGAAAAAGTCCAGCTCCACCAGGGAGCGAACACACGACCTTCCGATCCGCGGCGAGTGTCTAGCCGCTCGGCCTATTATTATGTAGGTAAGGTTAAAGTTAAAAGGATCGACCTCGTTGGACTAAGTTGTGTCCCATATGGCTCGCTTTCTCTCTCAGCAGAACGGTTAGTCGTGTCCTAAAAGCGTCACACAAAGCCCGAACCCCGCAGCTCCAGCGACGATCCCCAAGGGGTCCCTATTTAAAAAAAGTTACACTTGTAATTCGAACTACGTGTCCGTGAAACAAACCCACGACCTTCAGAACGCGAGGCAAACGGCTTCACCACGTCGCCACAGAGACCACCCATTATGTAGTTCTAATTGTAGTCTTGTGATACCGGGCCTGTAAGGAAAGCAACGACAGTAACTCCGTAGCCTATCTCAGGCATGTCGTAAGAGTAGACACAGGCGGGTTGGTGCAAGACTGGCTACATTATCTCGTAGGCCAGGCATGTGTAACTGAGCGTTCCACGAGGGCCATATGGTTCAAATCTTGTCGCCATGAGGGCCACACACGATTATTTGAGGTCATTTATTGAAAATGTTCTTTGTGCGGGCTGCTGGTTTGCTTGAAACAGGCTGCGTGACAGTTTGACATGCCTGTAGTAGACACCCTTAACCTCATAATCTTACACAAATTTATGGGAAAGTTTGTTTAGGTCTCAGGGTGGGGTGGTTTGCGGCCTGTGATTAAGTTTAAGACGGGTGGTAGAAAAAAAAAGGTCAGGAAACATATGGTAAAAAAAAATTAATAATAGATTAGGAACTCGTTTAGTAATTTCCAGGTACCCGGTTCGATTCAGCTGCAGGCGATTTGGTAGCAAACCACCTTGTGTTGACCGAAAGTCGACCGTCAAGAGGCGATAGCAAATTATTGAAAGTGAATTTGGCAAGGAAAGCCATCAGTCAGAAAGATGTTGATGTTGTTCTGCAACGTAATGTGAAGGATATGCCACTGACAGTAGAAAGACAGACGTTGGGGGGGGGGGGGGGGTGTGAGGTAGGAGGGCGGGGAGACGGCAAGAGAGACAGATAGAAAGAGAGAAGGAGAAATAGAGAAGGGGAGCACTAGAGAATGAGGACATTTGGAGAGCGAGAAGAGAGTGAAAAGCAGAGATGGACAAAAGAGAGAATTAGAAGAAGAAGCTAGTTATGATGATGATGATGATGAAGGAAAGACAAATAAGAAGGATTTCCAGAAGATACAGGAAACATTAATACACAGGAAAAACGGGAAAAGAATGGAGACAATAAAAAACAGATAAGGTATAAAATCAGATGCACAGAAAAGAGAACAATGATATATTAATAATAAAGACAATTATATATGATGTCTTTATAATAGAAAATATACAAAGCAACAGTTATTAAGTGTGAAATAATGGCAAGAAAGGAAGGAAATACATAACAGAGAAAAGTAGAAGGCAATGCAAATAGAAGCACATAATGAAAATCCGGATGGTGTAAGATTTAAAAGATGGAGGGCATAAATACAGAAACAATCAAACAAACAAAAGGAAAAATATATAATATATACGCCAATATAGCAACGTTAGGAATAAACTGAAAAACGAAATAATAATTAGATTGCCGGGAGAAAAAACACACAACTTACCACCAAAATATGGCGTCCTCAACATGGCTTGATAAGGGCTGTCAAAAAAGGCGGGATGTCGCGGCCCGCAGGAATTGCACGTGAGTCCGTGAGCTGGGAAGGGACATGCCCCCTTGGCACACCCTGTCTGCATGGGCGGTAGTGATGGGCAGAAGCTGATGTATGTGCCAGGATGGCTGCCAATCTGTGGCGTCTTCTCGTGGGGAACTGAACACCACAAGGGGAAACATCAGATTTGATACTGTTATGTACATGAGATTTGATACTGTTATGTACATGAGATTTGATATTGTTATGTACATGAGATTTGATATTGTTACGTCTATGTGTTTTATGTGTGGCTATGATGATAGAAACAACATTAACTTCGTTTTATATATTATTTCTATAAAAGAATAAGAGAAATATAATTGGCTTACTTATAGTTTTACATAATGATAATGATTATTTAATATGTCTATATATGACCCCCTCTCCCCCCCCACACAAAAGAAAAATTATTTAGGAAATTTTAAACTTATAGATTCTATTTAGTTATGTTTATATACTTAATTACTTAAATGTGTCTTTATTATGCTTTTCATTCAGTCACATACACACAATACGAAGCGAACAGAAGGGCTCGATATCTCTTCCTGTCCTGACGCCACGAGGCATTTCAGGAATACAGAAAAGAAGAAAAATGCACACACACACACACAAACACACACACATACACACACACAAGCACACCCATTCTGTGAGTCCCCGTGGTGTAGCGGATAGACGCTCACGTACTGGTCGAAAAGTCATGGGTTCGGTTCCTGAAGGAGACGGACATTTTTGTTTGTTTTCAAGTGGCCTTGGTTTCCAGGCCGACCCACTCTTGAGTGGGTATGGGGTGCAGTTCTGAGAAGTAAAGGCGGCCGGTGTGATGCTGGGCCACATCGCCCACCAAGTCTATGAAATATAGCTCTAGCCCTATATGCCAATTACGCCTGAAGACGCAGAAAATGGTCCTTTACTGAAAATATCTATTTTATCTTTTTAATTTTTTTACATGTTCTCCGAGTTGGGTTTTTTCCTGCCCCAACTGCCACATATATAATTCTATCTGTCTGCCCCCCTATCCTTACTATCTGCCGGTCTATTGTGTATTTTTGTTCATCTATGTACTATCTGTCCGCTTGCCTGTCCACTAATATATCCAGCATGTTTATCTCTGTTCATTTGTCAATCTATCTCTTTGTGAACTTGTTGATTCTGTCTATCTGTATGTTTACATATCTATCTGTCTGTTTATTTGTCCCCTATCTGACGTGTCCTTTTGTCTGTTTCCCTATGTCCATATGTCTGTCTCTCTGTCTATAGTCTCTCTATCTATTCTTATATCCATCTATTAATCCGTTAATATGTTCTGCACCTGCAAAGATTTGTATGTTTATGCTTTTCTATCTTCTTTTCTGTCCGTTTATCCATTATGTCCGTTTGACTTGATCTCTCAGCCCAATCTGTCCATCTTTCCTTCTATTCGTCTTTGCCTTCCTGTAACTTTTCTATATCATCTGTGCTTATCTTTTCCCCTGTCTGTCCGTCTACTTTTCCTATCTCTTTGCCTCTCTCCATCTATCTGTTATGTCTATTTAGCTCTGTGTGTTTGTCGATTCTGTAAGTACACCTATTTTTCTGTCAATCTCCCACCCTTTCTGTCCGTTTATCCTGCCCTGTCCGTTTACCTATATCCGTCTATAGGTTGTGTGTGTGTCAATCTATGTGTCCACACTCCTTCTTCCTCTTAGCATTAACCGGCTGTAAACTCCAGCTGAAAGTTCTGGTTGCTCGTCCACTTCCGGACTTTGCGCCTGTTCCAAAACTTGACTTATGCGTACACATCTGTTTTACAGATCTGACTTAAAAAAAAAATGCAAACTATTGCTTGCTTGTTTCTCAGGCGGAAGCACTCAGATTTCAGAGGAAATTTCTATAATTCGTCGCCTTGTACAACTCAAGCTTGACTTTGGGACCGGACAGTGGGTCTGTTCCTTATTTCACAAACGGGTGCTACGAAGGCCACACGTGTAGATCGGTTCTATGTGACAACAAAGCTCAACAGATATATCGGTTCTATGTGCCATCAAAGCCCACGCAGGTATATCGGTTCTATGTGGACGTCAACCCGGGACTTCCAGCACTCGACTCCCCCCCCCCCCCCACTTTTTTTTAGCTAAAAACCACAAATTGCTAAACGAGTCATGTAATATCAACATGTGGAAAGGGACTCCACTCATGCAGCAGGCCAACCGTCTGATAATGATCGTTACATTGTTAAAGCAGACATCGATGATGAAGACCCTATGTCCTTTAGGACCCCTGTGCCTGACACTCGACCCTCAGGCCCAGAGAAGCAAAGCTAACACTCAGCCCTAATCCACAGAAGCTGAGCGCCTCCCTCCCCATGCTTACCCAACATATTGTTGTACGGGGGAGGGGGGGGGGTCTTTTCTTTGTGGCGGCCTACCTGCACTCGTCATCATTTCATGTTTTTTTTTTGTTTTTTTGTATTGTTGTTTCGCTGTTTCTTTCTTGCGTTTTGAAAATTTGATTACACTGACACTATGAGTAAAAAATAAGATGTAAAGACAATAGGAGCAGATTTTGAATACTCCATCCAACACTATTTGTCCCAGAATTATTATTTATAAGTTAAGAAAGCGACAGATAAGAAAACAAACAAGCAAATAAAACAAGCAAAGGCACACATACCAATGCCGCTCTGTGGAGACTTTCTGTTGCTGTCGTTCCCCAGGATAGCGTTCATGCCAAATTTGAGGAAGGGGGTTGGCTGTGACGTAAACGTGACTGACTCACGTCGATGGTTGCTGGCTGTCGTAGAAGCACTGCTGGCCACTGTTGATACATTATACGTTGCAGATGGTGATGGCGATGAAGGGGATACTGTGGTTGAGGAGGAAGAGGAAATGGTCATCATTGTCTTTGATGGGTCATGAGATCGTTCAGAAACGGGTGAAGAATGTCCAGAATTTGGAGAGATGTGTCCGGATGTTAATACAGAAGCCACGCCTACACTCAACCCTAGCCCAATGGGAGATAAAGATGGATGATGTGGGCGTGGTATTATTGTTGTCCTTTCTCTAAGCAAGTTCTCCATAAGAAAAGAGGCAGAACCAACCCCAAGTGAAGCTGGGTGGGTGTGTTGTGTGTGGGGTGAACGGAGAATGTTTTGGTACAGGGTACTCGAGTTCATTAGGTTAGGAAACATGGTTAGAATTCTAAAGAAGCAACTTGCTTACTTACTCATTCAATAGTTTTCTTTACAACGTAAGCCCTGATTGGACAGATCATGGATCGTCTGCTGGTTTAGCACAGACGGAAGACGGCGTATTCTGACTTCGATACCTTATTCGGATAGTTCATAAACTGCTTTATTTGTTACAGATATTTGGCAAAGATTCAATTCTTTTGCCTTAAAGTAGACGTTAAATTTGAAATATATTATGTTGCCTAAAGTTTCGAATTATATAAATCTGTAATTTCAGTATGATTATTTCACACGCTGGTATCTGCTACAAACTTCAGCAACCTTCGCTAGTACAGTTTTGTGCTATTGTAGAATAGAATATTGGTTCAGTTCATCACTGACCACCCAGTAGTGCCAAATTAGTTGTTGTGATGACTCTTGTAGACCAGGAAGGTTGAAAGTATGGAAACAAATCAGTTCTTGATTCTGATCAAACAGCGTCAATCCCTGAAATTAAAAATAAACATTTAAAGAAAAACTGCTAACAACATATGATACAAAAACTATGGCGTAATTTAAAAAAGGCAAAATTGCAGTCAAACAAAATACAGACATCAGGTAGTTCACCATGAGTAATGAGTGCTGTACTAAGACTCCTAGAACATGACACCTGTGAATGAAGAAGATGTGGGCTCTAAAGGACAGGACCCGAAAGCAGAGACCGTAGTTTATGTTCACTGCTAACAACATTTATTACATTTTTTTGGGGGTCTACACCTTGAAACTGTGAAATCTAATCTTTATTACTACTACTACTACCACCACCACCACCACTACTACTACTACTATTACTACTACTACTACTACTACTACTACTACTACTACTACTACTACTACTACTACTACTACTACTACTACTACTACTACTACTACTACTACTACTACTACTAAACAAAAATAAAGACGACAGCAGCACCGCTGCAGCTGTAGCAACAGCAGTAGCAACAACAAGAACAATAACTTCCACTGCAACTATTACTAATGACACTAAAACTACCATTACCACCACCACCACCATTATCAACATACCCACCACCACTATCACAACCACCACCACTACCACGGTTATTACTGCAGCCATCTGACCTTCTTAACTTGTTAAGCCAACAATGTCTCTGTTCTTTCAGAACATTGTGTAATTAATTGTTCATCGACAGCTGTATTCGCTAACACAATCTGGCAACTCTTCCCTTGTACGTCTACTATGTAGGTCTATGAATTAGGGATTACGAATAGGGCTTATGAATCTGAAATATCAGTTCCCATTTATTGCACACGCTTTTAGAGTTGTCTGCTTTCGGTTGGTTTCGATGGAACATCCTGTACAGAAAGTAATGGCAAACTACTATACGTAACAACTGTTTAGTGAAAGGTAGGATGTATTGTAAAGGATATGCAAGGAACAAATATAGGATGTACTGTAAAGGATATGTAAGGAACAAATGTAGGATGTACTGTAAAGGATATGCAAGGAACAAATGTACACTAAAACGACGTTAAAGGATTAAAAAAAAATACTCTAAAGCGGTTCACGACCAATGGATCGCGATCCTTTTTTTGGGTGTGTGGGTCGAAAACCCTTTCACAAAGGTCACCAAAGACCATCGCATAATATATATTCATTGAAGTTATGAAGTAGCGACAAAAATAATTGTATGGTTGGAGGTCGCCACAACATATGAAACTTTATTAAAGGGTCATGGCATTAGCAAGGTTGAGAACCACTGGTCAAAGGCGCTTCTGGTGTAGGGTTCTTATCTCACATTTGTAGACACCCCTGTTGCCCGATAGCCCGTTAACAAGCTTATTGTAACGGGCCAGTGATTAAAGGTTGACTAAAAGTGAATGAGTTGGGCCAACAAAGCGTAGATATCGCACGCTTACTGTAAACCACAACAGAACATTACCAACTGTTCTTTTATGAAAGACTGTTAGACGAGGCATAAGCCGAAGAAGAAGAAAATGAAAAAGAAAAAGGAGAAGAAGAAGAAGAAGAAGAAATAGAAGAAGAAGAAGAAGAAGACGAAGAAAAGAAGAAGAAGAAGAAGAAGAAGAAGAAGAAGAAGAAGAAGAAGAAGAAGAAGAAGAAGAAGAAGAAGAAGAAGAAGAAGAAGAAGAAGAAGAAGAAGAAGAAGAAGAAGAAGAAGAAATAGAAGAAGAAGAAGAAGAAGAAGAAGAAGAAGACGAAGAAGAAGAAGAAGAAGAAGAAGAAGAAGAAGAAGAAGAAGATGGAAGAAGAAGAAGAAAGAAGAAGAAGAAGAAGAAGAGAAGAAGAAAAAGAAGAAAACAGAAGAAGAAGAAGAAAAAGAAGAAGAAGAAGAAGAAGAAGAAGATGGAAAAAGGAAAAAGAAGAAGAAGAAAAGGAAATATGATCAGCAACACGCCTGTCATGTTTGTTTCCCATACCATATCTGGTAGGCATTTTAGGATGGGTTGACGTGGCCATCCAGAGCATTTGAAAATTTTCTCGATGGAGACTGAAACCTATGAGCACCGAAACAAAAGACAGGATATATATATATTTATGAGACAGAGAATGACCTGTATACAGAACTTGACTGAGTGGACAGGTCTAAGAAATACAACCATGAAGTCCATCGCATCTAACCTTCAAAGGTGGCGAGATCTGATCAGACAATCAACAGAAACTGGTAACTCAACGATACTCAGTCTTACGAGATGTTGATGATGATGATGATGATATACGTGCCGAGTGGAGTACACGTGCATGCCTCAGTCAGATCTATTTTGTGTGTGTGTTCTGAATCAATTCTCTTGACGATATTTCTCCATGTTGCAGGTGCCGGTAGTACGTACCGTTGCGTACCGCTAGAATAAAACGAGTCCTTGTCGTTGGCTGTAATGGATCTCCAACCATCTCTAATGTCTCTCGTCCGGTTTGTTAACTCTTTGAGGCTACAGTTCGTTCACATCTTAATAACATTTTCCTCTTGTATCGCTGTCTCCCTTTTGCTCGCTTGATTTTAACGTTTCGTTCTATTATAGGTTTTATACAAGTGTGCCTCTAACTGTGGTTAAAATATTTTAGTTTTCTGTTATATTTTTACCAACAAATTTATTGTCATTCATGGACTTCCTAGATTTAGGTTTCTTGTCCCCCCCCCCCCCGCCTCCCTCCCCCCACAATAAAATATGATATTTACTTCTATACATTCACATCTCGACAGCCCAAATCCGACGTTCTAACTGTCTGATCTTTATCCATGTCTTTGGTCCAGAAAGTAAAGCTGAGAGAGAGAGAGAGAGAGAGAGAGAGAGAGAGAGAGAGAGAGAGAGAGGGAAAGAGAGAGAGAGAGAGAGAGAGAAAGAGAGAGAGAGAGAGAGAGAGAGAGAGAGAGAGAGAGAGAGAGAGAGAGAGAGAGAGAGAGAGAGCGTTTGTGTGTATAAGATAGAAGTTAATCACAAAGTTGGCTCTTGAAAGTGGCTGAACCAACTTTCTTCCAAGATCACGATGGGTCATTCAAGTAATTTTAATTTCATTAAATGCAACCGCCACCCTCCTAACTTCTCGACATAATATACAACTAAAAGTAATGCTAAACCAGAAAACTACAACTTTCAATAGTCTAAGCAGTTTCCCAAACTTGTCTTAGTTGCGGCAAGTTTTTTCAATTACAATTTTTCCACGGCGCCCTAACCCAAGTAAAAGTATGACGACTATTCGTATGTAAGAGATAAACTCCTGTACTTTTCGAATATTTCGCAGTCCTCCTGTGAAGAGGTCACCGCTTCCTAGGGCGCCGCGGCGAACAGTTTGGAAATCACTGGTCTAAGCTCCTTTTGGAATACTACAAGTCATTGTAAGCATATTAACTGTAAGTTGTGAACCCAGTGCAACCACAATGGATCATTGCAAGTAGCTTTTAGTACATAAACAGCAACTGTCACTCCTCTATGATCAAGGCTAATCACTGCAACTAATTTCAAACAATAAACATTAAACATCACCCAAATTAATTGTAGCATTTATGCTGCTATAATATAATGGACTCTGATGTTAATCTACCTGATGTTATTTTAAACAAAAACTTGGTGGAACATAATTTATAGTCGCAATTAATGTATTTTATTACATAATTTAATTCACGTTGAAAAACAAATATAAAACAACACGGACACTTCAATGGCAGAAATATGTAGGCTAATGCAGTATTGACAAAAAACAAACCAAAAAAAAAAAAAAAAACATAATCATGTACTTACCCAAAAAGAAACTATAACTGTGACAATGGAAATAATTACAAACAATTCTGCGTAATAGACTGCAACTAAATCAAAATTTAATTTACACGCGGTAACAACCAATGTGCATCTAATTCGATTTACAAAGTCACCAAATTAGTATAATGAATCATTACTTGGTATTTAGCTGGCTATACGGGTCCGCTTCTGTTTGCAATCGTAACAGTTTCCGAGCGGAAAACTTAGGAAAATAAAAACACTACGCAGGCCATTGAGTAACGGTTATCAAAAGTCGCTTCTACAACAGCTGGTTTGCGGCGAGAATAAAGCTGGGCAAGCGACTGATGCCGACTTAACTACTCATTTGATTTCTATTTTCTCAAAGTCAAGTCACGATCATTGGAAGGGCCGCCACTCAAGAACGGCATGGAGGCCGCCCGTCCCGCCCACTTTACATTTTGTGCGTGCCGCCTCGCGCCAAACGGTTGTACGACTTTTCACGTTTCTGCCGACTGTCAAACATCGCCGTAGCCGAGCAATGCCTTCTGCTATGGCGTCCACCGAGTGATGATACAATTACCAATTTGGGTGGAGTTTACAACGTAGCCATCGCATGCGAACCCCGCCCATTCATAATCGGAACAACCAAGACACTAGCCATCACTAAGGAGGGTTTGCTCTGTGAGGTTTCCCGCTCTGTGGTTGTGTTTGTCCACATGAGGCGCCAGGGGGAGAAGAATGGAACCATATTGCATGCT